GATAAGTATAAGGCTAGATTGGTAGCAAAAGGTTTCAAGCAGAAGAAGGAGATTGACTATTTTGACACTTTTGCTCCTGTTGCAAGAATTTCTTCTATCAGGCTTTTAATTGCCTTAGCTGCTATCAATAATTTAATAATTCATTAGATGGATGTAAAGACTGCTTTCCTTAATGGCGATCTAGCAGAGGAGATCTATATGGAGCAACCTAACGGGTTTATATTACCTGGACAAGAAAAGAAGGTGTGCAAATGAATCAACTCATTATACGGCTTAAAACAAGGTCCAAAGCAGTGGCACGAAAAATTTAAGAAAGTGATTATATCTACTGGATTTAAGATTAATGGAGGAGATATATGCATCTTTAGTAGATTTCAAGGAAACTCTGGTGTCATAATCTGCCTCTATGTTGATGATATGCTCATTTTTGGGACAGACATGGAAAATGTCATAGAAACTAAGAAGTATTTGACTTATAGTTTTGACATGAAAGATCTTAGCGAGGCTGATGTGATTCTAGGAATCAAAATCGTGAGGTTCCAAAATGGTCTAGCATTTACGTAGTCCAGCTATATCGAGAAGATTCTGAAAAAGTATAATCACTTTTCAGATTCTGTAGTCTCTTCTCCAATTGATCCTAGTGTGAAGTTAGTACGCAATCAAGGTAAAATGATGGATCAACTCGAATATTCTTGGATTATTGGTAGTCTTATGTATGCAATGTACTGCCCAAGGTCAGATATAGCCTTTGTAGTGGGTACTTTGAGTAAGTACACAAGCAATCTAGGAAAGGAGCATTATAATGCTTTGCTGAGAATCGTAAAATACTTGAAAGGTACTATGGATTATGGATTGCACTATGGCAAATTTCCAGCTGTAATCGAAGGGTACAGCGATGCTACATGGAACTCTGACAAAGAAGACTCATTATCTATGACTGCCTGGATCTTCACATTGGGTGGAACAACGATTTCATGGAAATCAAAAAGGCAAACATGTATAACTCATTCCTCTATGGAATCAGAGTTTATAGCACTTTCCTCTACTGGAGAAGAAGCTGAATGGTTGAAAAGCATATTGGAAGATATCCCAATATGGAACAAGCCAATACCACCCTTAGCAATATATTGTGGCAATATGGCTGTAATGCTTCGAGCTAATAGCGAGTGTTACAATGGAAAATCTAGATAGGTGTGATTGAAGCACAATCATGTGAGAAGGATCCTAGTTGATGGAATTATTTCTACTCAGTATGTGAAGTCCAAATCAAATTTGGCAGATCCATTGTCAAAGGGCTTGGGTAAGGACAAAGTGTCTAAGACATCGAAAGGGGTGGGATCAAAGCCTGTAATTGAATAAGTTGTACTGTTATAGGAACCCAACCCAATGATATTTCTCCTGGGTTCAATGGGAAAAACAAGTAACATAACAACTTGTGTGAGCACATCAATGTTCCTTTCCCTATGATGTGACGTGATGCTCAATCTTGTAACCGAGGAGGTTGACATTTAGATCTCTTAATGAATCTATAGATCGATTTTCGATTGGAGTGTACAGGATCACTTCTGATTGATTCACCGACTAGGAGGCTGAGACTTGTATCTCTTAATGAATTCTATAGATCGGATTTTCGATTAAGGTGTACACAATCACTCTTGATAGATTCACTGATTTATCTTGCAATGAGGAGGATGAGATTAAATTCTCTTAATGAGTCCATAACCGATATTCAGTTGGAGTGTGCAAGGTCACTCTTGATGGACACACCGATTTGAGTGTGGAAGTAGGGCCACTTCTATAGCATCCAGACAGGCTTGATCCTTAACGACACTCGGAAGTATGGATTCCAGACATATGGCTGAAACGTGTCAAGCTTTAGTACTATATCTCCAAACAAAAGTGTGTGTGTAATATTTCTTATTCATGAACATTGTTCTTGGTTCAAGACATCGTTCACCAAGTTCCTAGATGAAATGAAGGGTACTTACACTAGGTAATGGTTCAAGTCCAAAAGACACCATTATTGATGCACATGACTGTATCGATCAACAAAATGAATTTAAAACAAGTGGGGGATTGTTGGAGTTATGTGTTTCAAATTTATTAGTTATTAATTACTAAAACTCCAACTGATTCTTAAAGAAGTTTTAGTAAAGATTTTAATAAACTTTTCTACATTGATGTTTTAAAATAGTTTAGTTAATATGTTATTTATGAACATATTAAGTATAGGTTCATTAATGTTATGTTAATTACATCCCTACTTCTATTAGTATAACTAGAAGACTTACGTAGCCTACAACATACACACTCTCAATACAAGTACGAGAGAAAAAGAAATTTGAAAAAGTGTTTTCAAACTATTGAGTTTGAGTGTGTGAGTTTCATATTTTCTGTTGATTGAACAGAGATAAATACACAAGTTCATGAAGAAGAAGTGCAACCTTCATGAGCATACAATTTTGATAGCTGGGCTTAGTTGAATCCCGAAAATAGTGCTGCCATTTGTCTTCCATTGCACATGGGAAATGCTTCAACTATCTTCAAGAAGCGATTACGCGCCTCTAAGCCTTGATACTCACCGTTTTAATATATCGATTCCAACATATTTTAGTGAAGTTTGAAGCCAATTCTAGTCTTGCAGTTAATAATGATAAAAGAACTCTCTTTTTTTCTTAAGTTTGTGAGAAGAAGGAGACTATCTCTTCTATTCTTCACTGCACTGTTTCTTGTTTTCCTTGGTCTTCCTTTAGACACTTTTGGCCCTAAGAGCTCCAATTGCAAACCTTTGGTGGACAAGTATTCTGCAAAATTATCTACTTGGAACACAATATCTGTCTCTTGCTGGGAAAATTGAATTGACCAAATCTATCATTACTTCTTTCTTGCTTTTCTGGTGCTCAATTTTATAAATTCCTGCAGCCATCAAAAATATTATTCAAATAATGTGTAAAGAGTTTTTTTTGTGGGCAATTTAGACTCAAATAAGAGAATTTATGTTCTGAGTTGAAATCAAGTTATTAAACCTAAATATGAAGGAGGATTTGGAATTAGGAGGTTGATTGACGTAGGAAACTCTTATCCCAACTCTCTAGGTTAGGACTCCATCACTTTAAAGGAAGACTTTGGGTGGCACGGTTTAGAGATAAAGTAATGATAGGGAACCGAAAAAGAATCCCAAATTAACACCAAATTTGATGTGGTTGGCCATACTTGTCATTTGTTAAATATTTATTTTTTAGAACCTGTTTAAGTAGATGAGGTGAACAAAAACACGGTCAGATTTGTGCTTATTGGGGGTTAATTCTTCAATCTCCCTATCATTATTCCTAGAGATAAATACCCCACCAATTCTTCCTATTGGTTTGTTGTTCGCTCTTCTTCCCCACTCTATTGGAGTCGGGGGCAGTTCATGCTTTTGAATATCAGTTACAAAATTCGCAATGGACAGTCCATAAAATTATTCACTGATCCTTGGTTTCAGGGATATTTATTGTGCCTTTAACAATATTACTACTTAGCTGATTGCTTAATTATTAAATAAAAAAATAATTAACTGTATTTTTATTAATCATTGGATTGTTATTTTTATTTTTTTCTCTAGAAAATATGACAGAACCAAGGTTTTATTTTTTTAATAATTTGATATGTCAACATATCAGTGTCTATACCTAGGTCACATAGGTGTCGCTCTCATGCTCCTAGTGCGCTCTCGCTCTCACGCTCATTCTGGCTCAAATTTTCACTCTTTATGACTTAATTCTGCTGCTCTCACGCTCCCGCTTCTAATTGCTTAATTATTTTTTAAAAAATTTAATTGTAATTTTATTAACCATTTTCTCTCTCGAAAATATGACAGGCTTATTTGAGCTGGGCCTAAGAAGGCAGCCCAGCTACCCATCCATCATTTTCCTTACTCCCCACTCAAATTATATAAAAATAACAAAATAAAATAATGCTCCGTTTGGTGTGCAGGAATGAAATAGAATGGAATGCCCATTCCAACCATTCTTTTATTTGGTATGCAACTTAAAGTGGAAATGGCCATTCCATTGGAATAGAAATTCATTACTGGGAATGAAAATCCATTCCACAACTAAACCTATGGAATGGTCATTCCATTCCCAAGTAATTTATTTTAAAAAATCGACTTCCCAAAACACCATCATATTCTAAGTCCAAAAACTACCATTACCTTCCACCACAATCATCTCCGCCTTTCACCACCACCACCACTACCATTGCCTTCCACCACCACCACCGACTTTCACCATCACCCACCACTTTCCACCACCGCCACTGCTTTTCACCACCGCTACCGCCACTGCCACCGCCACCACCTTCCACCACTACCACCACCGCCATTGCCTTTCACCACTGCCACCACCTTCCACTACCACCACCGTTACCGCCTTTCACTACCACCACCACCTTCCACCACCGTTACCGCCACAGCCCTACACCACCACCGCCACTACCACCTTTCACTACCGCTACCACCGCCGCAGCCTTCCACAACCACCAACACCGCCGCCATCGCTTTCTACCACCGCCATCGCCTTCTACCACCTTCTATCACCACCAGCATCTTTCACCACCACCACCGCCTTCCACCACCACCACTGCCGCCGCCACCGCCTTCCACCGCCACCACCACCACTATCGTTAATTTAATTTAATTTATTTGTTACTAAAAGGGGTATTTTGGAGAATTCAATTAAAAATTTATTCCATTCTAAATTTTAAATTGGTCCAACCAAACACTAGAATGGTTATTATCATTCAATTCTTACACATTTCATATTTACAACAAAACAATAGAATGAGAATGACCATTCCATTCCATTCGCACTTACATTCCTGCGCACCAAACGTAGCATAAATGAAATGAAATGGAGGCGTTCTCAAAATAACAAAATAAAATAAATGAAATGGAGTCGGTTGAGAACGACATCGTATGTGTATGAAGCCGAAGATATATCATCACATCATACATATGTATCATCAAAAACATTTTCTCCACTTCCAGTGACCGTGCATGCGCAGCCATGGCGATCTTCACAACCAGGCGCACTCTAGCCTCACTCATCAGTCGCGCTCTTTCTTCACCATCACCATCACCATCACCATCTGCTTCTTCTCGTTCTCGCTTTGCCTTCGCATTGCTCAACAGACAGACCCAACTCGTCCCTGACTCGGTCACGATTCAGACCCGTTCCAAGACGTCCGGGTCGGGCTATTCGCCCCTAAACGACCCGTCGCCGAACTGGAGCAACCGGCCACCGAAGGAGACGATCCTCCTCGACGGCTGTGACTACGAGCACTGGCTCATTGTCATGGAGTTTACCTCCGAACGGAAACCCTCCGAAGACGAAATGATTGCTTCGTATGTCAAAACCCTAGCCTCTGTGGTTGGAAGGTACTACACACACTTTGAATTGCTTTATTATTTATTGATTATGATTTTTCTGTTTTCATTTTCAAGTTATATACGTTTGTCTGATTGATGTTTTCATTGACAAATATTTTATGTAAAAACCCTTGCCTCTGTTATTTCCTTTGTTTTGATTTTTTTTAATTCATGCCTGTCTATGTATACAAATATATATATATATATATATTATATATAAGTATATTGATGTTCTATGGCTGTTTCAGTGAAGAGGAGGCCAAGAAGAAGATTTATTCTGTTTGTACAACGACTTATACTGGATTTGGTGCTTTGATTTCTGAAGAGCTTTCCTACAAAATTAAAGGTACTAAACTCCTGGATTCAGTGTTCAAAGGTTGTTTTATGACTTTTGTTTTCACCATTTTTTTTTTTTTTTTGGCATTTAAATTGGTTCAAATTTCATCTCTTTTTGTATAAATATTTGGGGGTTTAGGGTTTATATGTTTGTGGAAAGTGTAATTGTATATACAAGTGTAAATATATATAAGTATGTATATATCTTACTTGCAATATATATATATGTGTGTGACTCTGTGCTCAAAAGGGGAGTGCTTCCAAAGAAGACAACAACCGTCCAAGACGACACTATAGCTTTAAGCTATCCGCAATATCCAAAAGACAATCCATTGAATTACAGTCCGGCTCATTTACCCAAAAGAATAAAGAAGTAAGAATGTTGTATTTAATAGCCCAAATGGGAGACTACTCTCCCTAAAAAAATCTCCTATTTCTCTCGTGCAACAAACCACACCAAATACAAAGGGGAGTGGTCATTCGAGCATCTCTAACTTGGCTCTCCACTGTACACCCTTTTCAAGTCTCTAAAAAGTCTACCGTGGATCATGAGAACACCCATGGAAGACCAAATGCAACCAAAAGCATAGACCAAACATCCCTAACCTCCGATTAATGAATAAGAAGATGGTTGACAGATTCACCCGTCATCTTGCACAAACAACACCTGTTAACCACAATATGACTTCTTTTTCTAAGGTTATAGTCAGGATGCTTCCCAAAGTAGCGGTACATGAGAAGAAATCAACCTTCAGTGGAGCTTTCGACCTCCAAATGGCTTTCCAGGGAAAATTGGGGCTCGGACGCTCCAACATACAATTGTAGAAGGACTTAACCTCGAAAACCCCTCGGGAGGTACCCACTCATAGCATCTCATCCATGCCCACCCCGACCACCACTTGCCTATGAAAATGAAGGCTAGGAATTCTGAAACCTCCAAAAGTTCCCAATCATGGAACTGTCGACAGAACTGCACATCCCAAGTCACCCTCCCATTATCGAGACGATAATAGTTAGCAACCACAACATCTCTAAACACAACAATCCAGTAAAGACGTGAGAATTTGAAAGCTGAAGCCAAATCCCGACACCATTTGTCTTCCCAAAACCTGACATAACTTGCGCTTCTAACCTTGAACTGAATACGTTTGTAGAATTCATCCCAACCTCTACGTATTAGCTTCCAGGAGCCGATACCTGCTGGGGTTCTATCCTCCTTTGAGTGCCACCCTCTATCTCCCTCCCCATAATGACAAGCGATAACGCACCTCCAAAGCTTGGTCCTCTCTCCCCCAAACCTGCACAACCGCTTGCTCTAGCCTTTGAATACCCAAACCCCCCTTATTAACAGGGGAGCACACTCTCTCAGTTAACGAAGTGGTACTTGAACTCATCTCCTAACCCGCCCCACAAAAACTTCCTCTGAATATCGTCAAGTCTTCACACAATTGACTTGGGCATCGGAAAGAGCGACATAAAATAGGTTGGGAGATTTGAGAGCATGCATTTCATATGAGTAACTCTCCTCCCTTTGGACAAGTATTGCATCTTCCAACCTGCAAGCATCCTCTCGAACCTTTCAACAATCGGATCCCACACAACAACTCTCCTTGACGAGGCTCCCAAAGGGAATCCCAAGTAGGAGATCGGGAGAGAGCCAACACCATACCCCAGAGTATTAGCTAAGGCTTGAACATCCTCCACCTCACCGATTGGGACAATCTCACTTTTCCCAATGTTAATCTTCAAGGAAGAAGCAACAATTAGTAAATCCAGGTCTGAGGCTTTCTGAGAGGAAGATTTCCAAATAGAGAAAATGCTAAAGTTACCTTTAATTGGAGAAAGAGTCACATGCACTTGGAAAATGGATCGAAGCACTTCTCTCCAAACATTTAAGTTGGGGCATGAGTTTGCCTTATCGATGGAGGGAAATTCCATCGCCCAATGGCGACACGACAACGAAGAGGAACAGTGCCGGTCGAATGATCACCCGGCCTTAGGCGACCATCGCCTGGCTAAACTTTTTTTTGGCACACATAGCAGCATCGGGCGAATGATCACCTGGCCTTGGGGCAATCGTCGCCCGGTGATTTTTTTGACGCAAGTAGCAGTAGCAGCGCCGGGCGATCGGTCGCCCCGCCCATGGGCGACGGTCGCCCGGCTTGGTCTTAAAGGCTGCAGGTCAAATTTGTTTGGGCAGAATGTTGCAATCTCTCTATTAGCCAATTTCCTCTCCACTCCTACTCCTTTCCTACATCCATCTATACATAACCCACCACCAAATTACCTCCACCCATTACATATTACATCATTCCATCTTACCATAATCTATTATCATCAACCAAATTCAATACCATCTTCCAAAAATCCATTCTACAATCACCACATTTTCACCACCTTTCCTACACCCATTAGAACTCCTTAATCTTGCCTACTTTCCTTTCTTCATCCTTTCTCACCATCTATATATATCCTTCGTTTATCCCATTAGATTATCATTCACCATCCCAATTCCATTGCCATTAGTTGATTGCCCATATTGTTTGCAAAAATTTGGAGAAGAAATCGTAGTCATTCGAGGTAAATTCTCAAGAAATAGGGGGAGCCCACCAAGTGTTTGAAAAAAAGGCCTCAAAGAGTTTTTCATCTTAAATGGTTCCAAGAAAGAAAAATGCCTTACAAGGCGGTGCTTCTACAAGCCGTTCAATTCAATCTACCGACATGCCGCCAACTCTTCGAGACTCTGTGGATGAGAGGTGGCATGGTCGCCTTCTTAATTATGAAGTGGGTTTTGATATTGCCATTTTAAATGCATGCATTTTGGAAACTAAATGTCCATTACAGATTTACGTCGCCGGCAAGCTTAATGTCTTTTTAAGCCGGCTAGTGCACAAATCTACCCCAGACTGGCAAGGTCTTTTATCAGAATCTTCATCCTAAGCAAGATGAACGGGGAGTAATAATGTCATCTGTTGATGGTATTATGATCCACATTAATTCTTGGATGATTGCCACGGCTATGGGATGTCCACATCAATGGGCGGCCGACTTGGAGTCGATTTTCACTCCGATGCCAGAGGATCTCACTATTCCTCTGATGATCAGTCGCCTTGCTGCTGGTCTTTTCTCATGCTCCAAAAATAATTTCACTTCCAAATCGTCTATGCCATTACACCTGTGGTTCACTGATGCCATATTTTTTCATAATGTGCGCCCTCTCTTACTCATCGGTCTGAATGTCGCCAAGATTTTCTCCGTGCCTTATTTGCCATACATTTTGGCCTTGGATAGCTTTTCCGGAAATCATTTGGGGCAGCTTAGAAAATTTTATGATTTTGTGATCAAGCAAACTCCAGGAAAAGAGAAAGATTGGGCTTTTCTTTTGCCATTCTTTATTATTCGACTTCTCACTTGTCAGGGCTATACCGTTGCAGCTAACGAGTTCTCTTATAAGCGAGAAATTTGCTATGGTAAAGTTGACTGGATTCGCAGCCATTCTCATATGGAAATAAAGGTGGTTGTTGCACCTGGAGAGAAGGCTCGAAAAATTGTGGAGGGTGAACAGGTTTTGCCTATTCATCCAAATCAATTGGCTACTGGATAGATCATAGAAGATAAGCCCGTTGATGAACCCCATGATGAGCCTATGGAAGAGGCAGCCAGTGACGACGCTGATGATGGGTGAGGTGAGGTGACTTAACAAATCCATCAGGGAGGATGATTTGTGAGGAATAGAGGATGATTCGTTAGGATCAAAGATCAATGATGGATATGATGCGCGCGCTTATGATTTATAACGGTCTTAATCCCGATGCTCTACCGCCTCCATTTTAGCTATCCTGCCAGGTGTTTTTGTTCTTTGTTTTTATTTTCTTTTTCGTTGTTATTTTTCTTGCTTTTGATTTTTGCCCACAGAGGACACTATGCAATTCAAGTTTGGGAGCATATCTACTCTAGTTGTTTTTTTAAAAAAAATTAAAAAAATATAAAAAATAAAAAAAAAATTCCAATTCTTTTTCTTTGGCATATTGATTTTAATTCAAGTATTTGAGAATTGTTGGGGGAATTACGACACCTAAATAATTTTTAAAAAATTCTTTTCTGAAATAATCCTGAATTCCTAATATTTGTGCTTTATCTTATGTGGGTTCCGTTATCTACTATGATAGGAATTTTAGTATTTGTTAGTCCCTGATGGATTTCACATGCACACTAGAATTTTATCTATGGGTATTTGTATTTTTGGTTGAATTCTGATGACTATGGATGGATATGAATTGGTGAACTTTGAAGGTTGTTACTATGGCATATAAAAAAAAAAAAAAAAAAATTATTAAACCCTTTTATGGAGTAATTGGGCCTCATGTCTCATAAGCATAGATAGAGTGCTCGCATTAAGAAGTGGGGGCCAAGGATGAGAAAAAAAAAAAAAGAAAAAAAAAGAAAAGAAAAGAAAAAAAAAGAAGAAATTGAAATAAATTGATTTGGTTTGTTTAGGTTTGTAGCCTAGTTGACTTGAACAAATAAGTCCTTAGAGGTGTGTCTTTTCACCTAATGCCCTAAGACTGCCCGGTCTGGGAGTCATTGGCTAAAAGCTTGTTGCACGAGTCTTCTAGAAAGCTTAATAAACCGGACATTGCACAACCAATCAATACAATGTGTGTGAGAGAAATATATATATATATATATATATATATATATATATATATATATATATATAGATTCAGAGTTCGGGATGGAAGAAATATCCGATTTTGGGAGGATTCATGGTGCGAGGATAGGCCATTGGCTCTTTTGTTCCCCAGTCTCTTCAGGATTGCTGTTGACAAACATGCTATGGTTGCTGACTGCTATCACCTTGATAGCGGAAGCCTATTTTGGGATGTGCGCTTCCGGCGAGCCTTTCAGGATTGGGAGTTGGATGATGTCACTGGGTTTTTAGCTCTCCTTTACAGACAGGAGGTGGAGGGTTCTGGTGCAGATTCCTTGATTTGGGTGCCTTCCTCTCAG